ATTGCTAGTAATGCTCAAACTCATTTCGACCCGATGAAAACTTGAAGGACTCGGGTGTTTGGCCCTGCCAAAACGAATACCGGGTTGGGACTTCGACGACAGGTTTCGTTTTCATTTTCGGTGCCCACTATCTCTAGCATTGAAGGAGATCTTCCCAGATCCGACCTTAAGTGAGTTGGATACCGTGTGGAGGACTCCCAGGAGTGGTGGCAAATGCTCGTAGGGTTAAAGCTAAATTATCATATGATACTTGTAAATAAATTACATTTCAATCATGAGATTATGAAACCACTACGATACTTGTACATATTCTTTCACATCCCGGTTAAACCGAGCGAAAAAGATCCAACTATTAATCCTTAATCCACTTTCTCAAACGAGCCAACAGGCCAAACCTGCTTGAAAATCTTGCCCTAGAAAGAGGTTAGAGAGAGAAACAACTGGTTTGTGAAGAAGAGAATGGGGAGGAGGATTTTCCAGCCAAGTAAAGACCCTTTCTTCCTTTCTTTCCACGATTCCCCCCCCCCCCCATGCATGGGGTCTAGTGTATTAAGGTACTTAGGGCTTTGTCCCCAAACCCTAACCTGGGTTTTGACATTTAGATGAATGGTTGATGATGATAATTTATGGCTTGTTTTTTGTGTTCATTTAGTATTCTTAATGCCTCCAGTTGTGATGTGGATGCATGATTGGGTATATGGCATGAATTAGCCCTATGTTAGTTCTTGATTGTGTATGAATGATTGTATCATATATGTTATTATTAGAGGATTGAGAGTCCTAGTTGGGGACAATTTGATAATCTCCTGCAAACTACGAGCTCACCTAAATGATGCTTGACAGATGAATGCATGACCATTGACTCTTCGGGCTTGTGTGCGGACGATTTAGACTCGTTTAGAGGAGGTAACATCTATCCCTAGTTAGGAAAACCGGTTGAGGTGAGAATGGGCATGTGGACTTGGCTAGGAAGGGGATCAGGAGACATGATCATAGCAATGATCCCACTTTAGCAAACTTCGCACCACAATCAATATGAATTCATTTATCCATCATTTACATGCCCACCTGTTAGTTAGGGCGAGTACAATGCGTCCCAAGTATGCTTTATTTTTCTTGCTCTCTAGTAACATAATTTCCTCAATATCAACCAACTACATACGATCGACTAGGTAACAATTGAGCTTAACTAGAGTAGGCTATAATATTAGAGTCTCTTGGAATACGATTGAACCACTTTACTATAAGTCTAGCGATGATATACTTGTCATTGTTGGGGTTAGAAGTGAGTGAGCATCGTTAAGATTTGAGCTCCACCAATTTTTTGGCACCGCTACTCGGGACCCATAGCTAAGTTATGTTACATTATTCATCTAGCCTTTACTTTTCTTACCTTTAGATTTTGTTTACATTTAAATTGTATTTTGTTTTGTTTTATTATTCCACTCTATACTTCCTTGGTAGTTGAGTTTCTGTGTGTAGCTTTATTGTATGCAAAGATGGAACCCATACAATCTCTTACCCTTCAATACGAAGATTGAAAGAACTATCCAAGCTCTCAGAAGAAAATTTAGGCAACAACAAGAGAACACAATCCAATGGTGGAATCATAACAATCGAGGGTTCAATACCAACGATGGGCTCCTACACCTGTCCAAGTGTAGAGAATGTGCAATCACCAATCTTATATCCCTCGATCCCCAGCAACAATTTTGAGGTGAAGATCGTGATGAGTTCAATGATACATAACTCGGTTTTGTTTCATGGGATGAGGAATGAAAATTCACATGCCCACGTGATGGCTTTCTATGAGTATCGACGGAATCAAGATAAATCCACTAAGAAATATCCATTTTTCTCTTTATGTGGCGGGGAAGCAATTTCTTAACAACCAACCCTATCATTCCATCGTATCATGGACAAATATGTGTGAAAAAATTCTTTTCATGATAGATTCTCCCATCCAAGACAGCGACTATGAGGAACATGATTACTTTGTTCCAATAAGAAGAAGATGAACCATTGTTTGAAGTTTAGGAACAATTCACTTCTTTACTTAGGTGCCCACACCAGTCGATTGGTTATAAGTCGGAACATTCTACAATGGGTTAACCAAAGAGTCTCGACACCTCATCCACATTGCTAGTGCTGGATCTATCTAGAACAAAGAAGTTGATAAGATGCATTGCCTCATTGAAGAAATTTCCCTTAATAGCTATGATTTGAGGTATGGAAAGAGGAAAAGCGCCCAAGCGAGGAGGAATACTTCATCCAGTTGAATTAACATCGGTAGCAACACATCTTCAAGAGCTTAACAAGAAAATGGACCTTGTTACTTTAGTAGTGCAAGGCAATCTAAAACAAGTGTGACTAGTGTGGGTCAAACTCCCACAACTTGGAAGGATGTTAGGCGATGATTGATGCCATGAAAAAACGAACTTCGTCAGAAGACAAGCAAGGAATAACAACTCATACCTACAATCCTGGGTGAAGGAACCACCCTAATTTTCCGAAGTGAGGGATAGAAGTCTGCACAGATGGATTCCTCCGGCGAGCAGAATTTTCAAGATCATTGTTGATGTAGCGACTGTTGATGGCCCGGGTTCGGGTTTTGTAATGGTGATTTGAAATGACAAAGGCAATCTCTAATTGGGAAGGGTTCGGAGATCATGACGATAGTGGTCACCGAAGCCAGTTGAAGCTACGATAATCCGATTTGAGGTGGAGCTAGCTAGGAGGTTTCATTTCTTGCCTGGAGAGATGTAATCAAAGTATCAAACAGTTTGTCCGTCATAGAAAGGTTGCAACTTGCAAGAAGAAGAGAATGAGAAAACGGAGATTTACGATGTTTGTGCCAAGATCAAGGTAGAGGCGAACTCAGATGGTGGGTTAAAGTTCTCTTGGGTGGTCACCTCTCCTACATAATGATTATGTCCCAAAGATCGAGTAAATCACAAGTAATTCATATCAAATTGTGGGATGAGTATGGTATGTACAATTGCTTCGAACTCTAAAAATTGACCTAGGGGAAAACACAACAACCCATACAATGGCACACATTTTATGTAATTGGGAGGAAGAGAAAGTGTGGACCTCTAAGCCCCCAATCTTTCTTATTCCCTTTTTGCAAGCTAATCTATCTATATTCCAAGTTATTGAGTAATGAAATTATCTAGATTATATAAAAAACAGGGGGGGGGGGGGGGGAATTGGAAACGACTGACTAGACGAGCACAGTCCACGAGGCAGCCCATAGGAAACTAATCTTCCTCAGGGTGGTAGTTTTAGGTAACACAATTCGTCCATATTGCTCCGGCATCTCGCTTTGGCGCGTGAAAACGCGAAATATATTAAGGTCGGGTAAAATTCATGAATTTTATTTTCACGGAGCGGGAATTTTCTTTGGATGGAGCGTGAATTTCCCTGAGACTCTTCAATTCGCCTACCCAAGCAGGATGCTTGATTCCCCAAGGCCTTTCGACACTTACTCTCTCGTCGCCCTCCGACATGCACCGCTCTGTTCTTCATGGTTTCACTCTTTTTGTTCATTGTAGTTGCTGTCGACCAGATGTATCAGCAGACACGAGGTTTGAAATTCCATTGAGGACTCCAAACCAAGCTCCATCGTCGAACTTCTCGGGAATCTTTGAGTGACCGTCGACAGCTTGTGATTGGGAATTTTCCGAAGTAAAAAAGTACAGGCTAAGCGATGGGTTATTGGTGGTCGGTGTTGTGGGTACTGAGCTATAGAGTAGAGGAATTGAATAGTAAAATATGGGGTAATCGAGGTTACGTTGTTAAAGAGGAGTCGATCGTCGGTCGGCTGGAGAGAAAGTCACAGACTCACAATGAGGGGTTTGGTGACAGAGAGAATGGACGATGAAAATCCCAAAATAAGGATACTTATTTTTATCCCTTATCCTTCCTCTTTCATTTGACGAAAATCCCTTCCCTTATCTACTTCTTCTCTCAAGTCTCTCCTTTCAATACAAGTACAAATTGATTTATAATCCTTATAAATATATATATACACCATACACTCATGAATGTTTATATGTGGATTCAAATATTAGTCATTTTAGGAGTTTTGAATTAATTTCTGTTGCTAACTTTGTGCATAAGCAAAACTTAGAAGAATGTAGACCTAGGATTTAAGGAGATAGTTTAAATTATCTCTAGTCACTAAATCCTTCTTTTATATTTTTTAGTTGTCTAAATTATTCTACTATATATCATGTTTTTGCATAATATTAATATAATATCAACGTTTTATCTGCGCTCTTAGTATAGAATTTTTTTAAATCAGACGCTTTCAAACTCTCACTCCAGCTCCACGAACTGATCACCGAAGATGGTACACGCACAAATAATTCAACAGAAATCGAACATAGGGAAAGCAACCACACAAGGTCACATGATGCACAAGTTTTAAGGCAAAGCTTTTTTTAACTTTTCCCTACTTTTTTTACTGCATTTTCATTCATCTCTCTGATAGCTGTACATCACCATCTATTGTTTGTTTTTCCTTACTCTGTAGTCTGTACTCTCCCACCACCAGCCACCATTCTGATAAAACATGTGGCTACTCTGCTTCCTTCTTTTCCTCCAGTTTTTTAACCAGTCAGAAAATTTTGAAGTAACAAAACTACCCCACACCTCCAACTAAAGACTAACACAACCTTCTACCCAAAAAAAAGACTAACACAACCCCCAAAAGCATTTTTTACTGCCTGATCGCTCGCTCGCTATAGCAATCAGCAACTGCACAAAAGACTACTTAGCTACTCCTCTCGTTAGCTACTAAAAACCCTAAGCAACTCTTCTTCTGCTTCACTCGACAAAACTCCTCCCTCGCTAACTACAAAATCCCTCTAGTGCCTACCATTTTCAGCAAGTCAACACACCCTCTTTACAATTTCAGAGCCCTTCCCCATGGCCAAGACGCCTACTTTCTCACAACCCTACTCCTGCCAATAATAGAAACTGAAGCAGACCAGCCTTTAACAAAGTCCTGCTGCTCTCAGCTCATTTCCGGCATCGTTTGCTTTCACGCATGGTGACTGCACGCTGTCTTCATCAGACTCGCTCCCAGATGCGCTCTCCGATCCTGACTCTGCACCCAAAACCAGAAGAATCACAAATTTCTATGGTGTTAAAGTAATATCACTTCCTGCCCATCTCATTATTTATTGCTGGTTGTGTAAGGGGTCACCATCAACATCAAAAACACATTCTGAGGAGTAGAAAAGGAACAAACCACTTGACGAGGAAGAACCGCTGCGGCTGCTACTCCTTGAACCACCAGAGCTGCTTGACTTGCCACTCTCACTCCCACTCCCACTCCCGCATCCAATCAAATCCTTCTCTATCTCCACCGGCGGATAATTCCCAACTGGACTCTCCTCTCCAATGTCCACTTCCTCCTCCACAATCTTGTTCCTCGCCATTTCAGGACTCGTTTCAGGACCCTACACAAAACCCACACCCATAATATGAAATAATAAAGGTAACACAATTGAACCACAGGATATCAGTAAATGCATGCGATGAAAACTGGCTTGTTTTTGTTTGATACCTGGGTGATGAATTTGTTTTCTTCAAGTTGGTTCTGCAGTTGCAGCTGCAGCTGCAACTGCTCCTGCCTCTTCATCTTGTTAAGGCATTTCCTGTAGTTGGTCACCAGCCTATCAAGTTCCCACAGCGTCTCCACATCCATGGCATCAAAATCAAGCACAATTTCATCGTCCTCTTGTTCCAATTCCCCATTCCGCTTCCTCACAATCTGCACTACCTGATCCATCTTCTCAGGGGGTAACTCTTGTAACTCCCTCCCCAACTTTTCCTTTTCTTGTGCACTCATTGCTCTTTTGTTTGCATCTTTGGCCTTTGGCTTCGGCAGCTTCCCACCTCTCAACTGCTGCTGCTGCATCACAGCAGCCTTGCCGATATGCAATTGCTGCTGCTGCTGCTGCTCTATCACGCCCCTGGCAACCTCCTCAACGTCTGTATCCATGGCCTCGATGACTGGTTGATGAGACACCGCCGCTCTATCCAACAATGCAGGTTGAAATTGACCCATATCATGACTCTGCCGTGAAACTTTACGCTGCTCAGCCTCGAACCTCTTATATGAAGGCTCAAACATATCGTCGAAAAACTTCAGCAACTGCTTTGCGAATCCATGCACTTCGTGCCCGATAGGGTTGTAAGTCATTGCATTTGAGAAAGTAAGCCTCACATCGCTTGCGAAATCGAAGGGTGCCTTGTAAACCCCATCATCGAGATTGGATTTCACAGTTCCCAGATCCATCGGCCTCTTGATTACCTTGTCATAATCGAACAACCGCATTCCCACCACATCAACCGGATGGTTGAACCACACAGCAGATCTGTGCTTCATTACCTTACTCAGGATTTGCCCGCACCTTCTCATCATGCTCACCAGTACCTTATCCTGTAGCGAATAGGGTTCCAACTCACGGGTTGATGGGGAGCTAGGTTTCGAACCCTGACCCGGAACCGAAATTGGAAAATTCTTCTTAGATTTTGGCCCTTTCGAGGCGCGATTCTGTTGGTTGGCCTTCGTCCCGCTTGCAATCCTGTTCGGAAATCCGGGCGCAGGCAATGCCAGTGGGTGCTGTGGGTGTGCATTGGAGAACTGGAAACTCGGGTAAACGGGTCGAGATTCAGAGTTCAGTCGGTCTAACCTCGTTCTCACGGTGCGGACCTGTTCGAGCTCCGATTGAAGGCGCTTCCTCAACTCTTTCAATTCCAGCCCGGAGTGCGCATCGAGATTGAACGTCACGTAACCGCCGCGGTACGACTCCTTCACTTCGTCGCCGGGAGCCATCGTCCACTTCGGCCGGGAGGGAGGTAGCATTCTGCCGACGCGGTGATCACCTGACGGATTCCGGATCTGGCTTGAACTCTGAAAGGAACTAGGAAGCGGAATCGGGCTCGGGTTCGGGTCACGCCCGGGGAGTAAATCGCCATGGCTGTGACTGGCGCCGTTGCGGCTCTTATTTGCGTTCGTGGCAGCGGTGACAGAGGTGTATCTCCTCATGTACGCCTCACTGTCCCTCCAATGCGGTTCATTTCTGCTGGCTAGGACGGCCGGTGCCATAAACGGAAAGTTAACCTAGACTCGGTACCGGGCTAATCGCCGGCGAGGAAGGAGGAATGGAAATGGCGGGAGATCATGATTGAGCGAGCGGGAAAATCAGAGAGTAAAATTGGAAAGATAGAAAATCGATTAGACTGGAGAGAGAGGGAGAAATTGGGGCGAGGGGTTTTGAGACCCTCTACACACCATGGATGATGATGAGAGCATGGAAAGGGAAAGGCAACTTCCGTTCCTTCTTAAAGACGATCAAGATCTGCCCGTTCTAGTCGCGGGCAGCTGCATCAGCCGTCGATATGTGATCTGACGGTTCACATCCGTTATGTTTGCCTGCCCCAGCTCAATTTCCGTGTCCATCTGGCACGAACGGTTCTGATCGTGGCTACGTACACGTAGGAATTTTTTAGCCATTAGTTTCGGAATTTTGGTTACTCTCTCTACCCTTTGATCTAAGTAGAAGGTAGAAACAAATCTTTGTGTCCTATCAAAAAAAAAAAAAAAACAAATCTTTGTGGTTTTTTTCTGGATAAAAACAATCTAAAAAATTAACAACATATGATACTCATCAACGGGACAGGTTACGGTGATTACTATTTTATAGTAAAAAATTATTAATTACTTTTTTTAACAAATTACATTTTAGGAAGTTACAAAATATATTAATTACAATTCTCTTTCTTTCTCTCACTTCCACAATTTCCAGCCAGATCTGTTTTTCTTTTTTTCCAATCTTTTCCTTGTTTTCGTTCAGCCGAACTGATACCGCTGCAAAAATAAAACAATACCAATCTATTAAAAGAACACTACCAATGCATAAAACACCAATACCATTCGAGAAATAAAAACACTACCATTTCACAAAACACCAATACCATTGCAGGTTTATCAATATCAATGCATGCAAATCAATACCAATGCAACAAAAAAAGAGAAAATAATACCAATGTGAAAAACACTACCACTACAAAAAAACTACCATTTCACTGAAAAGCAATACACTTACATGATAATCAATACCAACGGGAAAAACAATACCAATGCGAAAAAATACTACCACTACGAAAAAACACTACCATTATGAAAAAATCACTACCAATGCGAAAAAAACATACCAATGCGAAAAAACACAACCACTGCAAAAAAATCACTACCAGTGCGAAAACAATACTACCACTATGAAAAGATTGGAGAGAGAGAGAGAGAGAGAGAGAGAGAGGGTCATGGGGTGGGGTGGGGAGGAAAGAAAGGGTTTTGAAGGTTGGAAGGGGAGGGATGGGAAGGAAGGAGGAAGAGATGGAGGGACGACGGGGGAGGGGGTTGGGTGGGAACGGCGGGCTGGGTGGACGAGAGAGGAGGGGAGATGCAACCGGCGAGAGCCGGTTTGATGGAAGGAGGAGATGGTAGAATTAGGTTTTGCGTATATATAGAATAATCCAGTGTGGTTTATTTTTTGTTTCCAAAATTATCCTCGAACAATCATAATCGTGAGATTAGAAAAACAGGAAAAAGAAGAAAATTAATGGTGGATATTAATGTAGCCAAGATGGCTACTAGAATTCTAGTAACCATCCTAACACATTCCGATCCTCAACATAAAAAAGTTACCAAGTTAGATATTATATGGTCCTTTTTGCGCCATTTTATGATTTACGAGAGAACATCGTAGTAAAATTATCACGAGTGATGATCATTATATCAAAATAGTTCTGAAGCACCAAATCTGTTACAACGTTGCAGTTAAAGTAACTTGAAATAGGAAATGACTACTTGACAATTCTCGACCACTACCTCTTATAAGTTATAATCCATAATTGGGCATTAAAACGAAGGCATTACGAACAACTAATAACTCGATAATGTAAGGATTATAAGTTAAATAATTTTTACTATTACTTCAGAGTTGTATGAATACGATATAATTGTCATTATGTTCCTAACTTATCAGCTCTTTATTATAATCAACATGTGGTGATGCAGTGAGAAATTGAGACAATAGTGTAGCTTAATTTACCAACCTACCTGACTTTCTCAGAGATACACTCACGGAGATATGCCTCCCAAGTTCCTGAATCAACTGTATCATGTATTATGTGGAGAATAACAAGATGCAAATCTCTTGGAATAGTGACCTATCAGACCCGATTACTCCTATTTGAGGAGTCCGCCATGGAGACCCTCTTTCCCCCTACCTTTTTGTTTAGTGCATGGAGCGTTGATCTCATCACTTTGACCTGACCATTGAGGAAAAGTTTTGGAAACCCCCGACTCTCTCTCTTGGTGGCCCAAAAACATAATGATCCTTTTGATAATCAAACAGTGTATGGAGCCAGCTCTAGACAACAAATGAATCCCCAGAAGTCTCTGTTGTAAGGCTCCCACAACACCCCTCGAGAGACGGCGGAAGATCTGAGTGCTCGGGTTGGCTTCTCTCTTACAACCGACCTTGGGAAGTATCTCGGTGTAATAGCAATCAACTCAAGAGTCAACAAAGATAGCTACTGGGACCTCATATTGCATATCCAGAAGAATCTCTCGCCTTAGAAAGCTAAGAAGTTGTCCCTTTCTGCTCGTTTGTCTGTGGCTCGTTCTATCTCTACTTTTATCCCTGTGTATCCTATGCATACGAAACTTCTACCGACCTCTGTTTGAAAGGAGATTGACATATTAAATCGAGCTTTTTATTGGGGCCCTACAGAGGAGAGAAAGCATTCACACCTTGTTGGCTAGAAAAAGCTACTAGAACCCAAGACTTGTGGAGGAGCGGGACATAAATCTCTTTGTCGTATCAATCTGGCGCTCTTGGAGAAGAGTGGGTGGTGGACATTGAAAGAGAAAGACCCCATGTGGATCTAAGTCTTTCGAGGGAAGTATGGAATGAACAAAGACGACCATGTGATCTTTGAAACTAAACAGGGAAGTTCTTTCACCTGGAAAAGTATTTCCAAAGCAATACCTATCCTTTGGAAAGGCTGTGTTTGGAATATCCTTAATGGTAAAGAACAAAATTCTAGACTAACATTTGGTGTTAACAGGTACCACTCATGGAGGTTTAAACGACCACAATCCTGGAGGAAGAACTTCATACGACAGTCTCGGAGTATCTTTAAGAGGGAGTCGGGTGGCGAACTAAGCTATTCCCGAAATTCTGATATGGAAACATCATGGAGGAGATAACGACCACAACTACTGATCCTCTCGCTCAAGAAGGTGACAACCTGCTATGGAAACCGACAACAAATGTCAAATACACAGTTAAATCAGTATATAAGCTTACATATCCAACCCCCAAGTATAAAGATCAACACATTTGGAAGCAAGTTTGGAAGATTCAAGTTCTAAAAAGAGTAAGACACTTCATCTGGCTCTTATTTCTGTATCGCATCAACACCAACCAAAAGCGTTAGAAGATGCAAAACTCACCCAATCCCTTCTACTACAGGTGCACCAATGTTCCTAAGTCTAAGTTGCAGCTTCTTCATTACTACCCTTATTCTCTATTTTATTGGGAACAAACGGTACCAGAAAGTAAGAAGTTGGGTTCTTTACCATTAAGCTGGATTATTGTGACTTGCTAAAACACAACACCAAACAATGGCCAAGTGTAACCAATGAATGGTAATGCTGAATAGTGGGTAAGCTTTAATTATCAACCCGTGGTCTAGATCTACTGCCTACTCTGTGAAATTCTATTATCTAGCAGTAAGAGTTGAGTGATTGTGATTCTAATCTAAGGCAGAAATAAAGTAGTAAATTGTATGGTTTTCTAAAGCAAGAGAGGAGTCACTCGGGAATGAGTCCCCCTAGATCCTTAGTTAGGTTCAAGTTGTAATTCCCTTTGGTTGATTCACTGTTGATTAGACTGCGGAAGATCCGAAAATAGTTTGGAATCTCTTAAGCTCACCAAGCCCTCTTAGACAGAATACCCGGCAGGCGACTAGCCTTCATCGAAATAGACTACTAAGGCGATTAACATAGAACTCCACTACTGGAAACAGATTCCAATACAAAGCAATGAATTGACTAACTCTCAAACAAAAAATTCACTCCTATTGATTGAAGAAGCTCTAACAACCTATTCAGATTCCATCTATCACAGGTTGAAGCAGAAATCAAAAGAAGTTGATCAGGATTCAATTGACTCAATAAACACACTTCAATAAATTAAAATCAATCATTCAATCATCCCAAAAGTCATTGCAATCAAGATCCCTAACACGTAGAACTAGGGTTCTACATACCCAAGTGAGAGAAAGGTCTACTCCATAGAGAGAGAGAGGAATACAGAAATCAAAGCAGTCATACTCATAAAGATGAGAATAATCTGCTCTGAGATGTCAATCTTCACTCTTGAGGACACAATCGGGGTTTCAATGGTGAGAAATCCACCAAATAGCTCCTAGGGTTTGTTTTTCGTCACTTTCTCTCTCTAGAACTATATTTTTGCTTAAAAAAGTGGAATCCCCTTCCTTTGGCTCGAATATGCCTATTTACCCCGATACTGGGTGAAATACGGGCAAGAAAACAGTCGTATTTCTCCTCTACCCGTATTTTGCCCAAAACGCGCGTTTCGGTTAAGTTGACATGGAGAGAACCACGGTCGCGTCTGGTAAAATACTGGCAGTATTTGAAAATTACCGGCAACATTTTGCAAATTACGGTCGTATTTTGTCTTCGTCTGCCCGTAATTTTCTTTCCTTCAACATTCTTCAAGGGCTAGCCTCGGCCATAAAAATATGAGTTGGACTCTGGAGAAATACATTCGTATTTTTGGGAAAATTTAACGTAATTCATACCTGAGCCTTCATCATGCTCGGCATAAAAATTACCGGTAGTAATTTGTGAATTACGATCGTATTTGGTGTAGGGGACGACGGTATTTTGTTTCAAGAATCACTAAATCATCTCCAAACGACCCAAAACTTGCGCCTAAGCCTTCCTTTACCTACTAGGACCTGAAATGTGACAAAATAGCACAACCTAACGTAAAATAGGCCAAGTAACAACAAATTCGAGCTAAACAGTCAAGAAACAAGGGTGCAAACATGTGCAAATACGACGCTATCAAATTCCCCCACACTTAACCGTTTGCTTGTCCCCTAGCAAACCAAGTCAGATACAAGGTAAGCTCAAAACATTTTAATCTTGCAAACTTTGGGAACATATCATATAGGCACAAAATACGTGAATCATACTGGCTTTTAGACATCAATACATGAACAATCTCAATGGCAACATAGACAACCACCACAGATGACATTCGAGTGCAGCAAAATCGAGTAAAGAAAGAGTCTCCCTTCTGTTCACCAACCTACATAGACTTGACGCAACCACTTATTCAAGACAATCACCTCATGCATAAAATTCAAGACATCAGAATCAAACTGCGCAATCTAGGACCTCACCGGGGTATATAATATGAAAATTGGATCACTCATTCTTGACCAGTGGGGTCAGGACAAAATTTGATGCAAGATGTGAGTACTCGTACTCTCAATCCCTAACATCTCTTCACCATGATGTCAACCTCTATATGCTAGAGTTCACATATCGGATGTCACCACTAACTAGTCAGGAGGTCCAAGACACGGGTTCAGATGACTAGCTAGGGTCTTGGACATGGGGAAAATGCCTTTTAGTTGGTGAGCATGGTTAAGATTTTTGTATGGCTCTCTTTTGCTTTCATTTGTTTCTTTTTTCTTTTCTTGAGAGAACCACCACTTCTGCACATTCTTTTATCCTTGCAAATACATGCCCAGATTTTAAGAACTACCTCCAACCCTCATATTATTTCCAGCTGAAAATAGTAGAAAACATGCACAAACCACTCTGTGGAACCTCAGAGAGATGCATATGGGTGATTTTTCATTGTAGACACAAAGAAAGAAAGCTACATGGCTCAAAGGGGCATGTTGGGGGTATGACACACTAGGACAGTCAATTTGGTCGTGGGCTAATTCTATGCCTCCATCATCCTAACTAGTGGCAACGTGAATGCTACACATCATGGAAGAAGGATCTATAGCACAAGAAAGAAACGAGCAGGCCCAAATCTCACATGGCTACCTATATGCTCTATCTCATATTATGATTCCTTGAACTAGATGCATAAAGGACTGTAAAAAATAAGTGATCAATCCAAGTCACAGTTGGTAAGCAGACAATTGAAAAACTGGACCCCTACACAACTCTACTACACTTCTCAGTCATCATTATAGGTTGTCCTAGTCACCAACAAGTTGTCATGCATCAATAGTAACAACCAATCGATTCACCACATAAAACACAGTGCCAATATGATCATGCAAACATCAGTACTTAGAGCCCTCAAATCTCGAGATTTGGACAGCGGACTAGGCTCCAAGCGCACAAACATATGTTCCAGTAATTACAATGCACCCCCCCCCCCCCCACACACACACACTTAAGTTCGACATTTCCCTCAATGGAGCAGAGGGAAGGGGAATGAAGTTACCGGGAAATGATGATCGGGAATGGTGACCGGAGGGTAGACCAGTAAAGAGCAGGTTGAGGTAGGGCGAGACGGTCTCCGACATTAGCAGAACAAAAGACGACAAGGGTGACCCAAAAATAACAAAAGAAAAAGAAGTAAATAAAAACAAACCAGTGGTTGGACTGCCTCCCAACGAGCGCTTCTTTCACGTCCTAAGCCGGATGGTGGATCCTAAGTTTTGGTTCACCCTAGAACCTCTTTGAAGTTGAGGTTCTTATCTATGAGGTGGAGCCTCAAATCACGAGCAGGTGGTATGATAGGTGATGAAGATGGCTCGTGCCCTTGAGTCAGATGAAGTCTCCACCCTCGAGACCTATTGTTCTCTTCTTTTATCGTCGCATTGACCCAAACCAGATATGACAACATCGATTGACCACCATCGCATCTACCAAGTGGGACCAATGATGATGCGGCCTTGGTATGGCAAAAAGACACTGCATATGGGTCTTTTCCAAGCAACTCCTCGAAGTTTGGTGGAGATATCACATGTAACTCATGGTCGGTGGAAAGCCTCTTCCACCTCAACTTCGTCCTCATCCTGGACGCCAATCGCTTCCTAAACTCCCTTTCCTTCTTCAGAATGTGGTCTCTCCCCTTGGAAAAGATCAAGAACTCCTTCCGATTTGCTTTCGTCATCCTCCACAACTTCTTTCCTCACCCTTTCTCGCTCTTCTTCTTCCAGCACGGATTGGAGAGCAAGTCGCCATGAAAGGTTCTCAATGCGGTCAGCTTGCATCTCCTCGCTCATGCCCAATTCTTTAAAGCTCGAGGTGTAATGGGGAAATGTGTGGTCGGCTACAACAGGACATTCCTGATTATGATCATCACGGGAAATTTTCGTGACAACTTCTGTCTGCTCCACAATGTCTTCGTAGCCTTCTTCTTCATCCTCCTCTTGTACTTGTACAGTGGCAGAAAGGCTGTCTTGAGCAAGCCGTGCACAAGCTTGATCAATGACCTAAATGTTATTCTTAATGCTCCGGAGGGTCTGCTCTGTTTCATGGTAGGAGAACTCGGTCTGGGCATTGGCCTGGATATGAAGGTCATTTCTAGAGCATGATCTTTCGGCATCTCGAGCTAATAGAAACACGGTTCTTAGGGGTTTCTATTATTAATTATGACAGGTTAATTATTGTTAGGGTTAGTAGTATTCTAATCGTATTAGGTTATTTATTAGGGTTTTCCTGTCTTTTTTTATAAATATGTACTTTAGGTCTTTTGTTCGGGTAAGCAGAAATCAGTAAAAGAAACCCTAATCCCAAATTATCAAACCAGATAGAAACCTTGTTTCTATCATTTGGTATCAGAGCCAACATGAGTTCATCAAGGCTCTCTGATCTGGAATGGGCTCGTGTGTGGCAGCAGATCGAGTACACGCTGGCCGAGCTCAAGCGGGAGTCGTGCGAACATGGGTGGGCAGCGGCGGCTGTGCTGGAGACGATCCCAACAGTGGGGCCTGGCGTGGAGAAGGAAACAACGCCGTGGGTCGACGCCGTGGTGATACCGTCGACGGAAGGCGTTGATCCTCGGGTCGAGGAAGCTGGCGAACAAGGCGGGGCGATCGATGGGGCTCCGATGGAAGGCGCGACTCAACCGCCACCGCCACATAATGCAGCTAAAGTCGTCCCCATAACACCACCCGCCATCAAAGCAGAAGAAGCTATGGTATGGCCGTCGATATTATTGGCAACCAGCAGCATCTTCGGGTGGTCATGGAGACAAGAGACGTGAAGAGAGCGGAAGACAGGGGGTCCTGCCAAGACCTGGAGAAACTTGTTTCACCACCAACGCTGCTTTCAACGGTTGAACCACCATCCAGGGTGAAGAAGCTAAACAAGCCTGCCGAGGCTCCTTTCGTGACTGAAGGAGGTTTTGTCTCTTCCATCCTTGTTCTCGACAAAGAGGGGGAAATCGGCCATGGATAAGAATCCTAGACTGAACGTCCGGAGAAAAGATCGACGACGAGTTGCGTTGCGAACTGGCGATTCCGGAAGAATGGCCGCAACTCATCACCAACCCCGAGAAGTCAGTCGGAATTGCCGCTGGATCCATCAAGATAGCTTCAATTTTGTGCGCTCCCACGACTATAGAGACGCGAGCGACAAGGAGTGTGAGATTCGGGCAGGAGGCGCCGCGATCAGCTGCTGTTGCAATCGTGGCGACGTTGGGTAGGGAGACGGCACAGGTGACCAGCGATGGGGAGGCTAACCTGGGGGGTTCGTCGCCGGATAATAAGAAGTTGTCAGAGGAGGGATGGCCCTCCCGCTGCCTGAGTGGCAATTCGTCGCCAGAGATGGAAGCGTCAGAGATGAAGTCGATGAGAGAGCTGCCAGCGAACAAAACAAAGAGACAGCACGCCTCGATTCCTTTCCCTGAACGGGGCGGCTTCCGGGGCCTAGGGCTTAGGCCCGTTAAGGTTTCGTGTGGGCCAATAGTTTGGCCACTGAAGTTGGAAAGAGGTCGATCCGGAATGGGACACAAAATGGGCGATGTTGCAGGGAGTGATGAAGCATCGTGGAAGCTTAAAGAGAGGATGAGTTGGTGGAACAGTTGGCGGTGGTTTGAGGGAGAGCGTGTGCTCTTGAGCGAGTACGCAGGAAGATATGCTCTTCATCACGAGCCACTGCCGTTCGATCAGGCCGCTCGAGACTACAACAGTGGAGCAGGTACCTTCGACATCGACTGGTGGATCTCCTGTGGTGTCTTCACTGGAAAGAGAACGAGTCCAGCGCTGCCACACAATGATTTGGAGCCAAAATTATGCCTGTTCATCTTGGTGCCCGATACAATTGGGAATGCTTTCAATGGTGAGTCATGGGGGCGACACGAGGAGATACGGTCCAGAGTAAAAAAGTAAGGGAGAGCTCCTACTCTCATGCAGCCGACAGCATGGGACAAGAACGGAGAACGGAAGGGAGGAGGGGCATTGTTTGTGAACAAACATCCATATCTCAAAGGTAGAATAATCCATGGGAACAGAGTGACAGCAACAGGGATTTCGAATGAGATAGGTGAGGAAATAGAAATTTTTTCCTTAATGGAGCTGATTCCAAGATTTGAAGAACACTTGCTTTCCACCTTTATAGAAGAAAAGGCCAAGTTCTCATGTTGACTTCGTCTGCAAGGAGGTTACCGAAAATTCAAGAAGAAATTGGGGAGAATGGCCAGAGTCATTTGGTACGAATGGCCAAGTACCAAGCTGCTGGAAACTGTACTACTTGGCTCGTGGGAAACTGGGTAACGTCATTTAAGTTTGTGGCGCGAACGAGGAAGCTAGAAGAATCTTACGGCAAAGATCAGTACGGGAAGAACGTTATAACCATTCCTCACTTGCTAGTGGGAGATTCAGTTCAGCACAAGCAAGTTGATGTAAGGAGTGCAAGTCGAGTAGTGGAACACGATTGGAGGAAAAGGAAGCGCAAGGAACAACAAAGCCGTTGTGCAAGAGGCACGAGGAAAGTGGGAAACGATGTTAAATTGGGTAACCTTGAGGACAAGGTTGGTTTCAAGAGGGAGGGAATGATAGAAACACGGTTCTTAGGGGTTTCTATTATTAATTATGGTAGTATAATTATTATTAGGGTTAGTAGTATTCTAGTAGTATTAGGTTATTTATTAGGTTTTTCCTGTCTTTTGTTATAAATATGTACTTTAGGTCTTTTGTTCGGGTAAGCAGAAATCAGTAAAAGAATTATTCTTCCAAACCCTAAGCTCTACCTATCTCCTAATTTCTCTTCGTCCCAAGTCCAAGGTTTCGGCCAATATTTATTCTGTTCTTCCTCTCCTAATCCCAATCTCAACCCCTAATTTTGTTCGTATAACCCTAATCCCAAATTATCAAACCAGACAGAAACCCTGTTTTTATCACGAGCACATTGCTCCATGAGAAGCTCCAATTGACTCTTCCGCTCTAGCCGTGGAGTGTAGCATGGCTCTGCAGAATGGCCCGCAAGGGCCTCCATGGCTAACTTCAACTCATATGACACCTCTGGTTGTGGGAGGCCTGATAAGGAGATTATTCTAGAGGTGCCCAAGGGTCTGGTTGTTCTTCGTAGTAGGAGGGTTGGTACTGGAACCCGAATCCATAGTCTTATCATCCTTGATTTCTCCAGGAAGTCTCGGGGTAATATCACTCAGGTGGTAGTGGATACCCCCAATGGTTGGAGAATCCATGAAAAAATCTGCACCACAAAAAACAAAAATGCCCAAATGAAAAGCAAGGGTGTTAAAGAAAAATAACAGAAAAAGCTAATTTAATGCTAAAGTAGCAGACTTTCACGTTTCTCCAATAACCTAGAAGTCCCCGGCAACGGCGCTAAAAACTTGACTCGCTAAAACACAACACCAAACAATGGCCAAGTGTAACCAATGAATGGTAATGCAGAATAGTGGGTTAGCTTTAATTATCAACCCGAGGTCTAGATCTATTGCCTATGTAACACCCTACCCTATACGTTTTGCCTAATCATATTGTTCATAAAATTGCAGCGGAAATAATCTCGGGTGTTACATTAATTATCAAATTTTACCTAAATAAAATTTTGACATGAATTACTCGCGTAATGGGCTAACAGTTCTTGCAACTTAACCTGCAAAATAATTCATCACAAACATATATACTCACAACCATATGCATTGGCTTTTCTTAGCCATAGTCACACTTTTCATACTTCCTAACTGCATACCATAATTATACATACCATAATCGTCACAACTTACACAGTTACACAACATATACACATATCATTAACTTTCCACACCTGTGGATATCTCACACTAGATCAGAAGCTAGTATGCACATGAAAAACGTTCTCAAAACATTCTTTTACAAAAAGGTGTGGATCACTGGCCAAAATCCCGAGTAGTCGTCCAAGAATAGAATAGTTGAAGACCATACCTCATCCTGGCTTCAACTCTAGCTCCTCTCCCCACCTAACACTTATCTACTGCTGCTGCTGATGATCTGCTTACACATAGCATAAGCAGAGAAGAAGAATAAAAGAGGGTCAGCTCATAGCTGAGTGAGATAATCATAGCATCGTGAGTTCATAACATAGCATACCACTACCATACATCTAGCAAACAAGCCAAAGCACTAGGATCAGATCTCAGCCCTCTGACATCCCAATAGGCAAAAGACTCAACCACCTTGACTTATGCATATGCATCTTATTATGTTTTACTCATAGGCGCCTGGCTACTCCCATGCTAATAACTCTCCCGGGAAACATACCCCACATCCCGTCGGATGTAGTCATACATACCCCAACATCCCGTCGGATGTGGTCATACATACCCCACACCACTATGGGTGTAGTCATACCCCGACACCGCTCTGGGTGTGGTCATATCTCATAAGAATTCTTCAGTCACCACCACATGAGAGGTGTGACTATCATACATATCATAATAGAGTAATAGCATAGGGAGCCCTAATTACTATGTAGTTGACCGTGAGACCAAAGTACTCTTACTTGATATCCTTATACATAATCCATATCTCATCTTGCTTAATCATAATTCATTACTTGGACATGTTCTTGACCTGGCCACAATTGGCTCAACATAACCAGGAGTCGTATAATTGCACTTCCTCGGGATAAACCCTTGTGCAAGTCATCCTCCTTAAAACATCATATCACCAGGGAATATATATTTTCCCCCTTGTGCATCCAAATACAACAATAATGAAAAATCATACCTAATCACCTTCTCGAACCATCGTAAAGCATATTAACAGTCAATCCCACAATTTGCAACATATACACAATCATTGGCATAAACAAGGTTCATATCGATTAGGACAAGTCAATAATATCATACAGCAATCCAGGGTTCAACATATAGCACAAAAGTTCATACACCCCTAATCATGCCATTCTAGTTCACCTAGATCAATTCTAAGCATCAATATAATTATCGTGATACGACAAACCCGGTATGCCGTGCTAATCCCTCACCAGTTCTGGTCGTTCAAACACCGGTTTAACCTTCCCGTACTAAAACAT